CCATTGGCAGCTCATGCGTGACACCTGCCTTGAGGAGGCCACGCTATTCGTGAGTCGGCAGGACTATGGGATGAACGACATCATTCCGTTGTTGCACGTCCTGGAACAAATGCTGTTAACAATGGCTGGTCAGGGTGCGGTAGACGTGGCGCACAGATCTCAACGCCACATGACCCCTGTGGGGGCAGGACAGGAAGAAGAAGAGGAGGAGGTAGAGGAGGACATTGGTGCTCAAGGAATTATTGAGTGAAATGGGTGGTTTTTTTTCACTCAGCGGACAGGAGTGGAGGAGCAGGAGCATCTGGTAGAGGAGGAGGAGGAGGAGAAAGAGGACCCAGACGCACCGTGGCAGTATGCTGTGGAGATGGAGGCAGGGAGTCCCTCGCATTCCTTGGCACAAATGGCCCATAGCATGCTCGGTTGCTTGCGTAGCGACAGCCGAATAATAACCATCAGACAGAGGGATGACTTTTGGCTGTCCACCTTGTTGGACCCTCGCTACCGTTCAAAAATGGTGGCCTTTTTCACACCTGCTGAGAGGGAGGCCAAAATAACGTACTATAAAAACCACCTATGTAGTCAGCTGGTCTCTGCCTTTCTGCGCCAACATCCATCCTCAGACACTGTGGGCCCTGTGCGCTCGCGTTCCGCTGCCATGGCAGTAGGGGAGGGGTGGGGTGGTAGGAGCAGTGGCAGCTCCACCAGCAGCGGCTGCCTCAGTCTGCAGTCGATGATGAGTAGCTTTCTTCACCAGCGCAGTGAGGAAACTACTAACCAGCCGCAGCAGCAGCAGCATCAGGTGGACCTGGAGCAGGACCTCAAACAACAGGCTTAGGCCTACTTGGACAGCACCCTGCCAACCGAGGTAGACAATCCCCTTGACTACTGGGCAACGAAACTTGACCTTTGGCCCCAACTAGCTGAATTTGCCCTTGAAAGGCTGTCATGCCGGCCAGTAGCGTGGCATCGGAGCGCATGTTTAGTGCGGCAGGAGGTATTGTAACTCCGCGGAGGACACGACTGTCCACCCAAAGTGTGGAGAGACTCACGTTTGTGAAAATGAATCAGGCGTGGATTAGTCTGGATTTCAAACCACCAGTTCCTGACACAACTGACTAAATCCGCCATGAATCATGCCCCCAAACATGTGCCACTTTCAGGTCTCCTCACACTGCTGGTGTGTTCCATTTTTTGTCATAGGGTGCTGGCAGATTACGGGCCTACCATAGTTTCTTCCAGGCCCCTAATCTGCCATGGGCCCCTGTACCGCCTCCTCATGCTGCTGCCAGGTCCACAGTCTCTCAGGTCCACATTGCTGCTGTCTCATGCACACTGTGCCACTTTCAGGTCTCCTCACACTGCTGGTTGTGTTCCATTTTTTGTCATAGGGTGCTGGCAGATTACGGGCCTCCCATTGCTGCTGCCAGGCCCGTAATCTGCCATGGGCCCCTATACCGCCTCCTCATGCTGCTGCCAGGTCCAGAGTCTCTCATGGGTCCCTGTACGGCCTCCCATTGCTGCTGTCTCCATCGCCACACTCTGCCATGTGCCACTTTCAGGTCTCCTCACACACTGCTGGTGTGTTCCTTTTTTTGTCATAGGGTGCTGGCAGATTACGGGCCTCCCATAGCTGCTGCCAGGCCCCTAATCTGCCATGGGCCCCTTACCGCCTCCTCATGCTGCTGCCAGGTCCCAGTGTCTCATGTCTCATGCCATGTGCCACTTTCAGGTCTCCTCACACTGCTGTTGTGTTCCATTTTTTGTCATAGGGTGCTGGCAGATTACGGGCCTCCCATTGCTGCTGCCAGGCCCCGTAATCTGCCATGGGCCCCTGTACCGCCTCCTCATGCTGCTGCCAGATCCAGAGTCTCTCATGGGTCCCTGTACGGCCTCCCATTGCTGCTGTCTCCATCGCCACACTCTGCCATGTGCCACTTTCAGGTCTCCTCACACTGCTTGTGTGATTTTCCATTTTTTGTCATAGGGTGCTGGCAGATTACGGGCCTCCCATAGCTGCTGCCAGGCCCCTAATCTGCCATGGGCCCCCTATACCGCCTCCTCATGCTGCTGCCAGGTCCAGAGTCTCTCATGGGTCCCTGTACGGCCTCCCATTGCTGCTGTCTCCATCGCCACACTCTGCCATGTGCCACTTTCAGGTCTCCTCACACTGCTGGTGTGTTCCATTTTTTTGTCATAGGGTGCTGGCAGATTACGGGCCTCCCATAGCTGCTGCCAGGCCCCTAATCTGCCATGGGCCCCTATACCGCCTCCTCATGCTGCTGCCAGGTCCAGAGTCTCTCATGGGTCCCTGTACGGCCTCCCATTGCTGCTGTCTCCATCGCCACACTCTGCCATGTGCCACTTTCAGGTCTCCTCACACACTGCTGGTGTGTTCCATTTTTTGTCATAGGGTGCTGGCAGATTACGGGCCTCCCATAGCTGCTGCCAGGCCCCTAATCTGCCATGGGCCCCCTATACCGCCTCCTCATGCTGCTGCCAGGTCCAGAGTCTCTCATGGGTCCCTGTACGGCCTCCCATTGCTGCTGTCTCCATCGCCACACTCTGCCATGTGCCACTTTCAGGTCTCCTCACACACTGCTGGTGTGTTCCATTTTTTGTCATAGGGTGCTGGCAGATTACGGGCCTCCCATAGCTGCTGCCAGGCCCCTAATCTGCCATGGGCCCCTGTACCGCCTCCTCATGCTGCTGCCAGGTCCAGAGTCTCTCATGGGTCCCTGTACGGCCTCCCATTGCTGCTGTCTCCATGCCACACTCTGCCATGTGCCACTTTCAGGTCTCCTCACACTGCTGGTGTGTTCCATTTTTTTTGTCATAGGGTGCTGGCAGATTACGGGCCTCCCATAGCTGCTGCCAGGCCCCTAATCTGCCATGGGCCCCTGTACCGCCTCCTCATGCTGCTGCCAGGTCAGAGTCTCACATGGGTCCCTGTACGGCCACATTGCCATGTGCCACACTTTCAGGTCTCCTCACACTGCTGGTGTGTTCCATTTTTTGTCATAGGGTGCTGGCAGATTACGGGCCTCCCATAGCTGCTGCCTAGGCCCCTAATCTGCCATGGGCCCCTGTACCGACTCCTCATGCTGTGACGTTGCAACAAGGTGGAATTCAACCCTACATATGTTAGACCGCCTTTACGAACAGCGAAAGGCCATCACAGATTTCCTGATGTTACAAGCGGATAAAGGTACTCCCTGTGTAACTTAGATGTCAGCCATTGGCAGCTCATGCATGTGACACCTGCCTTGCTCAGGCCCTTTGAGGAGGCCACGCTATTCGTGAGTCGGCAGGACTATGGGATGAACGACGTCATTCCATTGCTGTTGCACGTCCTGGAACAATGTGCTTTAACAATGGCTGGTCAGGGTGCGGTAGACGTGGCGCACAGATCTCAACGCCACATGACCCCTGTGGGGGCAGGACAGGAAGAAGAGGAGGAGGTAGAGGAGGACATTGGTGCTCAGGAATTATTGAGTGAAATGGGTGGTTTTTTCCACTCAGCGGACAGGAGTGGAGGAGCAGGAGCATCTGGTAGGTAGAGGAGGAGGAGGAGGAGAAAGAGGACCCAGACGCACCGTGGCAGTATGCTGTGGAGATGGAGGCAGGGAGTCCCTCGCATTCCTTGGCACAAATGGCCCATAGCATGCTCGTTTGCTTGCGTAGCGACAGGCCCCGAAAAACGTCAAATAATAACCATCAGACAGAGGGATGACTTTTGGCTGTCCACCTTGTTGGACCCTCGCTACCGTTCAAAAATGGTGGCCTTTTTTTCACACCTGCTGAGAGGGACGGGCCAAAATAACGTACTATAAAAAACCACCTATGTAGTCAGCTGGTCTCTGCCTTTCTGCGCCAACATCCATCCTCAGACACTGTGGGCCCTGTGCGCTCGCGTTCCGCTGCCATGGCAGCAGGGGGGGGGGGTGGGGTGGTAGGAGCAGTGGCAGCTCCACCAGCAGCGGCTGCCTCAGTCTGCAGTCGATGATGAGTAGCTTTCTTCACCAGCGCAGTGAGGGAAACTACTAACCATTACGGGCAGCAGCATCAGGTGGACCTGGAGCAGGACCTCAAACAACAGGCTTAGGCCTACTTGGACAGCACCCTGCCAACCGAGGTAGACAATCCCCTTGACTACTGGGCAACGAAACTTGACCTTTGGCCCCAACTAGCTGAATTTTCCCTTGAAAGGCTGTCATGCCCGGCCAGTAGCGTGGCATCGGAGCGCATGTTTAGTGCGGCAGGAGGTATTGTAACTCCGCGGAGGACACGACTGTCCACCCAAAGTGTGGAGAGACTCACGTTTGTGAAAATGAATCAGGCGTGGATTAGTCTGGATTTCAAACCACCAGTTCCTGACACAACTGACTAAATCCGCCATGAATCATGCCCCAAACATGTGCCACTTTCAGGTCTCCTCACACATGCTGGTGTGTTCCATTTTTTGTCATAGGGTGCTGGCAGATTACGGGCCTCCCATAGCTGCTGCCAGGCCCCTAATCTGCCATGGGCCCCTGTACCGCCTCCTCATGCTGCTCAGGTCCACAGCTCTCATGGGCCAGGTCCACAGCTGTCTCCTCATGCCATGTGCCACTTTCAGGTCTCCTCACACTGCTGTTGTGTTCCATTTTTTGTCATAGGGTGCTGGCAGATTACGGGCCTCCCATTGCTGCTGCCAGGCCCGTAATCTGCCATGGGCCCCTGTACCGCCTCCTCATGCTGCTGCCAGGTCCAGAGTCTCTCATGGGTCCCTGTACGGCCTCCCATTGCTGCTGTCTCCATCGCCCACACTCTGCCATGTGCCACTTTCAGGTCTCCTCACACTGCTGGTGTGTTTTTTTTTGTCATAGGGTGCTGGCAGATTACGGGCCTCCCATAGCTGCTGCCAGGCCCCTAATCTGCCATGGGCCCCTGTACCGCCTCCTCATGCTGCTGCCAGGTCCAGATGTCTGCCATGGGTCCCACAGTGTCTCATGCCATGCCATGTGCCACTTTCAGGTCTCCTCACACTGCTGTTGTGTTCCATTTTTTGTCATAGGGTGCTGGCAGATTACGGGCCTCCCATTGCTGCTGCCAGGCCCGTAATCTGCCATGGGCCCCTGTACCGCCTCCTCATGCTGCTGCCAGGTCCAGAGTCTCTCATGGGTCCCTGTACGGCCTCCCATTGCTGCTGTCTCCATCGCCACACTCTGCCATGTGCCACTTTCAGGTCCTCACACTGCTGGTGTTTTCCATTTTTTGTCATAGGGTGCTGGCAGATTACGGGCCTCCCATAGCTGCTGCCAGGCCCCTAATCTGCCATGGGCCCCTATACCGCCTCCTCATGCTGCTGCCAGGTCCAGAGTCTCTCATGGGTCCCTGTACGGCCTCCCATTGCTGCAGTCTCCATCGCCACACTCTGCCATGTGCCACTTTCAGGTCTCCTCACACACTGCTGGTGTGTTCCATTTTTTGTCATAGGGTGTGCTGGCAGATTACGGGCCTCCCATAGCTGCTGCCAGGCCCCTAATCTGCCATGGGCCCCTGTACCGCCTCCTCATGCTGCTGCCAGGTCCACAGTGTCTCATGCCATGTCCCATGGCCACTTTCAGGTCTCCTCACACTGCTGTTGTGTTCCATTTTTTGTCATAGGGTGCTGGCAGATTACGGGCCTCCCATTGCTGCTGCCAGCCCGTAATCTGCCATGGGCCCCTTAACCGCCTCCTCATGCTGCTACCAGGTCCAGAGTCTCTCATGGGTCCCTGTACGGCCTCCCATTGCTGCTGTCTCCATCGCCACACTCTGCCATGTGCCACTTTCAGGTCTCCTCACACACTGCTGGTGTGTTCCATTTTTTGTCATAGGGTGCTGGCAGATTACGGGCCTCCCATAGCTGCTGCCAGGCCCCTAATCTGCCATGGGCCCCTGTACCGCCTCCTCATGCTGCTGCCAGGTCCACAGTGTCTCATGCCATGTGCCACTTTCAGGTCTCCTCACACACTGCTGGTGTGTTCCATTTTTTTGTCATAGGGTGCTGGCAGATTTGGGCCTCCCATTGCTGCTGCCAGGCCCGTAATCTGCCATGGGCCCCTGTACCGCCTCCTCATGCTGCTGCCAGGTCCAGAGTCTCTCATGGGTCCCTGTACGGCCTCCCATTGCTGCTGTCTCCATCGCCACACTCTGCCATGTGCCACTTTCAGGTCTCCTCACACTGCTGGTGTGTTCCATTTTTTTTCATAGGGTGCTGGCAGATTACGGGCCTCCCATAGCTGCTGCCAGGCCCCTAATCTGCCATGGGCCCCCTGTACCGCCTCCTCATGCTGCTGCCAGGTCCAGAGTCTCTCATGGGTCCCTGTATGGCCTCCCATTGCTGCTGTCTCCATCGCCACACTCTGCCATGTGCCACTTTCAGGTCTCCTCACACACTGCTGGTGTGTTCCATTTTTTGTCATAGGGTGCTGGCAGATTACGGGCCTCCCATAGCTGCTGCCAGGCCCCTAATCTGCCATGGGCCCCTGTACCGCCTCCTCATGCTGCTGCCAGGTCCAGAGTCTCTCATGGGTCCCTGTACGGCCTCCCATTGCTGCTGTCTCCATCGCCCACACTCTGCCATGTGCCACTTTCAGGTCTCCTCACACACTGCTGGTGCGTTCCATTTTTTGTCATAGGGTGCTGGCAGATTACGGGCCTCCCATTGCTGCTGCAGGCCCGTAATCTGCCATGGGCCCCCGTACCGACTCCTCATGCTGCTGCCAGGCCCGTAATCTGTCATGGGCCCCTGTTGTCGCTTGTTGGCATATTCCGCTCGTTCAGATGCTCCTTCTCCTGCTACTCCTCTTCACGGATTCCATCAGTCTGCAGTCTTTCTTGGAATCCGTTTCCAAGAGACAACAGTTTGCGAGCACGCACCCGACGGTGCAGAAGCTGAACGTCCTCCTGTCCAAGTTTGCTGCTGCCAGGCTCGTAATCTGTCATGCGCCCCTGTACCGCCTCCTCATGCTGCTGCCAGGTCCAGAGTGTGTCATGGGTCCCTGTACGGCCTCCCATTGCTGCTGCCAGGCCCGTAATCTGCCATGGGCCCCCGTACCTACTCCTCATGCTGCTGCCAGGCCCGTAATCTGTCATGGGCCCCTGTACCGCCTCCTCATGCTGCTGCCAGGTCCAGAGTGTGTCATGGGCCCCCCGTACCGACTCCTCATGCTGCTGCCAGGCCGTAATCTGTCATGGGCCCTGTACCGCCTCCTCATGCTGCTGCCAGGTCCAGAGTGTGTCATGGGTCCCTGTACGACCTCCCATTGCTGCTGCCAGGCCCGTAATCTGCCATGGGACCCCCCGTACCTACTCCTCATGCTGCTGCCAGGCCCATAATCTGTCATGGGCCCCTGTACCGCCTCCTCATGCTGCTGCCAGGTCCAGAGTCTCTCATGGGTCCCTGTACGGCCTCCCATTGCTGCTGTCTCCATCGCCACACTCTGCCATGTGCCACTTTCAGGTCTCCTCACACTGCTGGTGGTTTTCATTTTTGTCATAGGGTGCTGTATGGCCTCCCATTGCTGCTGCCTCCACCGCCACACTGTGGCTCCACACTCTGGTTTTGGCCCCGTGACTGCCCAAATGAGTGAAGTGTGCGGTGATTCTAAGATCAACGGCACTCATCTGCATGTCATACTGACTGTCAGTATTATTTCTCTTCCCCAGCAGACTCCAAGGGCATTTAAATTAAAGGTACAGTGTTCTGCACTAATATAAAGGCTCTCTGAAGCCTAGAAACACCCTTTTATAAGTTAAATTCGCAGCGAATATATTCGACTCGAATCAAAATTTTTTTCACGAATTCGCCGAATCAGTCGAATCAAATTTTTGAATAATTCGCTCATCTCTAGCAATAATCGCCACCTGTTTTTCAAAGAATGAATGACCTCACTAATAGAAATCCACACTGCTATTATTTTGAACATGCCCCTTTCAATTAGTGATTCAATGACACAGAATCAGCAGCATGCATGTCATGACTGTTGGGTCTGTTGGATTTCTATTACTCTACTACACCTGCTAGTAAATTATTTGCCATGTAGAAATATCATTTCTACCAAAAACAGTGATTGATCAGGCTAGTGATGTCTGCTATTATTTTGAACACAACTGTATATATATATATGTCATCCATGCTGCTAGCTACATAAAATAATCTTTGGCATATATTTAAATGTTTTAAATGATTGGAATTTAGTGTTAGCACAGCTGTTTTCCTGAAAGTAGCGCACATGCCTAGAGCACAAAGCCAAAACCGTTTTCTTAGTTTTTGAATTTTAACATCGTAGAATACAGTTTTCTTTCAGTGGTGAACTAAAGATCAAATTTGCAGTACCACTTGTTGTTACTAGTCCAGATTATGGAGCCCCAGAGCTTCATCAGCTTTGAAGAAAGACCCTGGCTAGAGAATTAACAGCAGATTTTAAAGGGCAAGTGTGATTGATGGCATGAATAGTGATGATTTGTCCTCAACTGCCACAACATCAAATACACACTTATCTCCAGCTTGTAAAGCTGGTCATGCATGTAAAGATTTTGCTGGGGTGAAAGCAGGGGCAACACATGGGGCCCCCGGGCAATAGGAGATCAAGAGGCCCCTGTGTCCTTGCCCAAACTCAAAAAAGCCTATGAAAAAGGTACCAGGGGCATCTCATGGGGCCCCCTACTGACCCCGGGCCCTCGGGCAGTACCTGAGTTTCCAAATGGTCAGTCCGCCCCTGGGTGAAAGAGAGAAACTCATATTTCTCCATTCATGTTGAAACTCCCACTGCCAACTATTGTATTCCGACAACTGGCACCCGCAGTTGTCAGACTACCTGAGCAGTGACTGCAGCTGGTTGCCTGAAGCAAATGTATAGCCATGTTGATCTGCCTAGCTCCATAGATTTCTTAATCAAAGTTTCTTGTGCCAGCATGTGTTGGCAGGGCTACCCATTGCTTTGATTTAAGTTGCTTCACAGGAATTGGCCAGCTTTGGTGTGGGGCAAGCAGCCTACAGACACATACGGTTTGATTTGCTAAAATTGGAGAGTGCAAAATCTGGTACAGCTTTGCATAGATACCAATCAGCTTCCAGGTATTTTTTTGTCAAAGCTGATTTGAACAAGCTGAAGTTAGAAGATGATTGGCTACGATGCACAGCTGCACCAGATTGTGCACTCTCCAGTTTTGAAAATTAACGCCATAGTGCCTTTGGCCACTTACACATCACAGGCTGGTCATCTTCTCACAGAACCTTGAATTTTTGCTGGGAAAGGGACTGTAAGGCAACCCAAGAGCTGGAATTATAAGAGATAAAAATAGCCCCAAACATTTACAGTATTTAAGATTATTCCACGCAGTTTGCTTAAAATGTGTTCCATATGGCACACATGTGTTTATGTAGACCAGGATTCAACTTTAATGCCTTAGCAGTTCTATGTACTTATGAACTTGTTAAGAGAATTAAAAATGTCTGTGAGTCATTACTGAACTCCTAACTTACTCAGTACATTTACAAAGCGCACATTGAGTTGATGTAGTCACTAAATGTTAACACAGACAAATTTGTTGAAAGCTACAGCAGCACGTTTAAGGGCTTGTTCATTTGATGTGTGGAAACTTGCATTTTTCTGCACTTGTAAACGTGCAGCACTAGAAAAGTTTTTTTCTATGTGCCCATTAATGCAACAAAGCATGTCTCACAATGAAACTCTCCTGAAGTCCCCACCTGTGTCATAATATACTACAGTGCATAGAAACGATTAAAGCATCATTTTGTAACTCTTAAATAAGGTTTTTTTAAAAAAAGAGAGAAAAAAGTTAAATAGTGCTTTGTGTTGTAAAAATGCAAGGCACCATCCCCCTCAGGAAACTGGCTTGTTTTATTTGTGCAGACTGGTGTGAACAAGCTCATAAAGATAAAAAGCAGTTTAAAGAGCACCAACATTTTGGAGCTTTGTGGTATTGTAGAAAGCAGAGAAATTATAATTATGACCGGGTAGGGAAGGGCACAGGAGGCACTTGCCTTGGGTGCTCTGCTGAAAGGGCCACAGCTGAAGTGGGAACCTCTCCTACCTTTGCATTACCCAGCCATGTCCTGCACTGTGCAGGACTGAGCTGTCAAACTGAGAGAGTGTGGCTCTCCGTTTCCCTTGTAGTATGTTGCTCCTCTGTCGGTGTGACAGTTATCTGCTTTATAAATGGTGCACAGAACCAGGCTATTATGGAACTGTTTTCTCCCTGTGTGATCTGCAGGACCGAGCAATCACTTTGACATCTCGGGTCCTGCTCTGCAATTCTTTATGAATGAAAACTATTATTGTATTACTTTTCAGAGAAGCCTATGGGACAGTAGGAAGTATGCTTTATTCTTTAACCAAATAAAAGACAACAACCTTTAGTTTTTTGGTAATAACTTGGTTGCGGCCGTTTTATCATTGGTAGAAATATAAGTATAATTTTTTATAATAACTCTTTATTTGTACATATTAACTCAATAATAAATATTTTACATTTTTTTTCTTAAAGTGTCACTACACAACACCAGCTTAGTCAATATGACTCAAGCTGTACATAATAACACAACAACTTATGAACCATACATATCTAACGATCCATCTCATTTCAATTAAACATACTTACTCATCCTCCTTTGAAAAAGGGTGACCTCACCAATGATAATTGGCCATGACACCAAAAAAGGGGCGGGTGGGAGGGGAGTACCACAGAGATTCCTCCCAGGTGTCTGCTTCCCCTATGATTGGAACCCCCCTTTTATAACCCTCTCCTCTCTCTTATGCAGGCTATAGACGGGTCAACATCGGCTGATTTTTCGAACGATAAATGAAAAATCGGTCGTTCGTTCGGCCGACGTTGCCACCAACGATTAAAAAAATTGTCCGACTAAATCATAAAGTTCACCCCATAACTTCTGTCCCTTTCAGGTCATAGCTCATGCGCAGATTTTTTATCATTAAAATGATCTTCCGATTTGGCCATCATTGCCGGGAAAATTGGCTGATCGTCCAAATCGGCCGCACATTTCCCAACATAACCGATAATCTGAAAGTGCAAAATACATGAAAAACGGCCGACAAACTAATCCACTAATGATATGAAAATCGGCTGATTTTTCTTTTGGCAAAAAAATCGGACTATTAACGACCCACCTATGGCCTGCATTAGTCCTCTTCTGATTGGCCAATTTGCCGTCCAGGTATGCCCAGGTGCAATGGGGGACTTTAAACTCCCTTTTTCTAGAGACTTCCTCATTATATTAAATATATAACGGGGGCCTTGAAACTTTTAACGGTTTTTCTTCACCTTATACCGAATGGGTGAACTAAAAAACCTGCTGACCTAGAAGTCTCTCCACTGTATATATACAGCAGCGATACTTAAAACTTTCCCCCTGCCACAGTCCCATAAGAAAAGGGGGCGCCCCATATTAAATCCCCCTTTTCTTTTCCTATCCTGCCTCCGCCTAACAACTGTACTTTTATTTTCTCCATTAGCTCATCTCCCACAGTTACCTTTTCTATCACTTGATCTTCGCTTTTAGATGGAGGGCCCTCTGATTCCTCCTGCTTTGAATTGTATTGTAGCTGCACTGTTTGTACCCTCTTATCTCATTAGATGTGTAAAATGTTGGCACTATATAAATACTTTATAATAAAAAAAATATTAAGAATAAAAATAATACTTTTACATGTAAATAAAAATAAAATGAAACAACATTTTAGCCTCTTAATTCTTGTGTCCATATAAATAGGACAGGTTACAGAATATAATTTGTAGTTAACCCACAATATATTTTTAACTCTAGAAATTGTTTTTAAAAATTGAGTTAATCCTTATTGTTTTTATGAACTCCATTCCCTTCCCCTAGCTTTTTTTTTTTTAACATTTTGTAGCACCAAAGTAAAGAGCTCAGGGGGAAGGGGGTGAGGCAGGGTCACTTTGACATCCTTGTCTATAGTGCCAGAGGACATTGTCCCTGCACTGGCCATAAAATTGATTTTCAATAAGGTCTGCCAAAAGTGAAAAAAAATATTCAGCAAGAAAGATTGTTTCCAGGCCGATTGTTACTTTGATTCACCAGTTTTACATGAACCCCTTCAGCAGTTTTTGTTGCTAGAATACTTACATAGTAGCTTAGGTAATAATAAATGATAAACAGTTTGCAGATTCTATCTCCAGCATCCATTAATTAGCATACTGCCTGTATTGTCAGGTTCTGCTATTCCTTGTTCCGAGGACAGAAATAGCAGACAGCATATCTGATTTTGGCTTAAACAAAAAACTTTAGGCTTTACCCAAAGCACTTATAGAAGCCTCATACAGTATTTAAAACATATCAAAATTTGCTTTTTAACTCTTTAGCATCTGCTAATGTTGTACAGTGACAATGTATGTTTACTTTATATTGCTTATCTACTATATTGTGAACCAGATACACTTTTAATTGCTTTAAAGTGGAACTAAACCCTCCTGTCCTTTTCAGCCAAGGAAGCTGCCATCTGCTAAGATGTTTGATCTGCCACTGCCATGATGCTCTGCATGTGATCAGCTATAACCCCAGCCATTTGATGATTTGAGGGATTGGTTGAGAGCACAAGCAAATATGACAGTTAGCATTCCCGACATGCTAGGAATTG